CTCCTAATAAATCAAACGGCACTAACACAATGTTTAATTGGTGAGAAATTTATTCTTTAAAGTTCTCTAAAATTTTTCCGTTATAGTTCTTGAAATTTTTTTTTATAAGATTATTCACATATTTTTATGTATTAATATTATAATAAAACAAAAGTAAATGAGATATTTTTAACTTTTATTTTCCATAATATAATTCCAAATTCATAAACTTTTTTTTTCACACTTTTTGAAGAAAATTTTTTTCCCTCCACACTGTCTGTATAGGATATATTTGATAACTTTTTATGTACTAATTTATTACCAAACACAAAAATTAATAACTCGTAAGTTTTTTATTCCATACTTTTCCAATAACTTTCTCAGGAAAAAGTTAAATTAGAAATCTTCCTTACAAAGGTTAAAAATAAGTATTTATTTAGATTATTAACTTTCATTAAGATTAGAGGAATACAAATTCATTAGCAACAGCTAAGATTTAACTTTAAAATTACTGAAATAGCCATCATTCCTACTAAACTTGCCCACAAAGATTGTTAATTTCTATGATTTCTCATAAGCTACAAGAAAAGCACAACATATTTGTATAGTCAAAAGATCTATGTTAGAAGTTGCAGATACAAGAAAAAAAAAAAGAACCAAAAAGAAAAGAAAAGAAAAGAAAAGAACAAATAAAACCCATTTTTCATGATCAATTTCAATGTATAACTTTCTGATAGGCATCTAAGGGGGGGCACCATAAAAAAAACATTACGCCCTCATAATTGTATAAGAACTACTCTCTTTGTCAGACAATATATCTCTCTTCTGCCTCAGGAGAACATACACCTTTTGATAATCCATCAGACAATCTCCTCTGGTGTTCTATCTTTGTCTTTAGACAAATCCTTGTGCGCCATTTCCAAACAAGGTGAAAAAAGTGCTATTAGTAGAGGATTCTTTCTAAGGCAGGATAAGAAATCATCCTTGCTGATCCTCCCATCATTATCTAAGTCAAATAGATTGAATAGTCCATGGACCTAGAAGTGAAGAGTGAGATGGGTTAGATGAAAGAAAAGGAAAAGTGAAATTTTCAGCTTACATTTTAAAGAAAATATTGATCATGTTTTTCTTCCAATATTTAATGGAGCCACCAAGAATCGTTTTGAATTTATGTTAGGTCAGTGGATAATACTTTTTCTTGGTTGAAAAGAAAAAGGGTCTATGCTACCTCATCCTCATTCAAATCCGGGATAGTAGGTCTAATAATATCTGCCAACTGTTACAAAAGCAACCCAAAATGAAGGGTGAGCGAAAAAGTTAGGAACATATAAGCAAGGAAATTAAACCATGGCAATGACTAAGAAAGAGAAGAAAGAGAACACTATACTTCTTGCTCTGAACAGTAATTAGTTCCCTCAACATCACATTTGGCAAAGGCTAATTCACAGGCTTGCTGGAATAATGGTTGCTTCATCACATGGGCAGATCCAAATAAGAACTGCCAAGGAAACAAAATAGTCATTTAATGTGAGCCATATAAAAAACTGCAAATGGAAACAGACACATCAATGCAGAAACAAAATTATTTGGGTGGGGCTTAAATAGAGGGAGGACCACCTGCTTAAATGTAATTGATCCATTCTTCTCCACATCAAGGAACCCAAATATCTGGCATTTTAAGAAAATAGTCATGAAACAGCATAGTGGATCACAAAAAGTGGAAAAAAAAGTTTAGATAACAAAAAGTAAAAAACATCTATGAAAATTAGCAGGTAAGAGGAAAAAAGTCTTGGAAGGGACAATTAACACGATAGTTGCAAATTGACCTCTTCAGAAAATGCACAAGCCTTCAGTTGAAGAATCCCTAAAAAGTCATCAAAGCTAATACGACCACTGCAAACACGAAAAACAAGCAAGAATTTAACATTCTAATTGCTTCCATGAACAAATCATTTCCAGATAACAAAGTTAAAAAAACCAAGTATCCTTCAACCAAAAAGAGAAAACAATATCTTTTTTTTTTTAATACAAATGCTTTGGTGGTACCTTGGATCTGGATTCATGGAAAGAAATTTATCCAGAAAGTCTATGGCCTCCAAGCTGCTTATATGGAAAAACTGCAAAACCAAGTAAATGGTTGACTATTTCAGTTTTTAAAAAGTGATTAAAAATAAAAAGAGGAGAATATGGGACATTTCAGTGTCTGACTCACTGATTCAATCCTAGCCATTTCTACCATGTACATCCGTGGGTTTTCCTGCATATGTTATGCAAACATCAGAACAAACCCTTCAAGGACCAGATAAAAAAAAAAAAAAGGAATAAAAAACACTCTACAAGGACAGTTGGACTCAATTAAGTATGCAAACAGTGTATTTACATTCAATACTATATCCTGCCAACAGCAAATGAAGAAAAATACATATAGCTAATAAAGTGAGAAAACATAGCAACAGAAAACTGATAATATTTAAGCTAAATATTTTCTTTATATGTTTCACATCAACCATCCAATAGTACATATCTTGCTCCTAAACTAGTATATTTGAACCCATGAACAGCCATGCGAATTACAAATTAAGTTCATACATAACAGCCATTGGTATTCACCATGAAGGAGCACACCTGTTTCAATTCTGAAGCTCTCATAAGTAGCATTAAGTCCCCATAGGAATGAGATGTCTGTACAACATTAAGAGCAGTTGCCATAGCATGACTAGTCTGCATAGATGGACACTTGAACCGATTAATAATCTATAAAACTCAACATTACAAACAATTAATTATAATGGGCATCTCATCATCTTTAGATAAATCATGCACAAGAAAAATATAGACTATAGATTGCTCAATATTCACTATCAAATCCAAATTTCAAGTAATTTAACATGATATGTATGTTAGATATTTGCACATTAAGAAGCACAAAATAAATAGATAAGAAGTCAAGCAGATGTAACGAAATAATGAAGGTAGATTGGCCATATGCAAAACTGACCTTTTCAGCAAAGTGGATGACATTTTGTTTTTGACGATCAGGAGGCATAACAACAGGAAGATATTCTACCTGTAAGTTTCAAGCTGGACTGAATTAGTATTAAGTAAAACACAAGTTTATTGAACTATGCAAAACACTATTAAAGCTTAAAAACATCAAAATGAAAAGCAGGACAGCAAACCTCCATAAAATTGTGGAACTGAGTAAACATTCTAAACATGAGCTTTGCCAAAGATATAGTCCCCCTAGACAAGATAGCTCCAAAAATATTAAGAAATGTAAAAAGAAGATAAAATGAACAAACAAATAATCTTCCATTACAGGAACCGGAGTCTTACCAGGACTGATCGAAGTGCACATGGGGATACCGAACAATTACAGGTTGGATAGGATAACCAGGGATGAATGCACCAAGTTGGAATGAAATAAAGAACTTTCCATTGGTTGTGGTTCCCTCAGGAAATAGTAGCACTCTAGGAAAGCTATCAAAGGAAGCTCTTTTCTGTATTCAGATCCTTGAAAGCACAATTCTGTATCAAATAGCTTATAAATTTGATAAAAGTCATTTGAATTTACTTCATAGTGTTTACTTATAGATTCATGCACAAGTATGCACATATAGAATGGCCAAGTCTTCCTTTAAGGAGTTTAGGGCAAATTGGGTAAGCCAGTCTAATCATCATTTAGCATTTTAAAAGAAGGTAAGTATTAAACACATAGCATCAGAAAGGGAGCAACAAAGAGAGGAAAAAAAGAGTGAACATTGAAGAATTCATTACAGATTTATGGATAATAACAAATATTTTACCAAAAAATACCAGTAGGAATCTATAAACTTCCTACCTGTATTTCTTTTACAGCATGCCTCCTTGATGATGGTGAGAATCTGTTAACATATATTACCTGGTAACATAAAAGACTAACGAGAATGAGCATGGGACTGATAATACAATAAATACCAATAACAACCATAAAAGCAAATGGCCGTTATTGAAATTGAAAACTATGGGCAATTTATATAATTATAGAGAAGCCTAGCATGTTTCAAAGCTTAAGTTTACATTCTAATGGAATCATGAGAATACCTGCATTGCTCTAATAATAGTTCCGACGAAGGGTATGGAATCATGGGATTCTGATGCAACAATTGTAGCAAACAATTCATAGAAATAGAAAATGGGTTCAATGTATGACACATGGTTAGATACCACTATTGGAGCAACCTCCCTTCGAGCAGGTTTTCCTTTTCGTCTAATCCACTGATAGCTGCAGGATGGAAAAGAAAACAACAACCATATTACATTACACAAATTAGGACTGCAAACCAACCATAATAAAATCACACACCCACACACTGATAGATGCACGATGGAGAATTAAATGAAGACTAAGACAAACCAATCATAATTAAAACTCCCAAAGTTTCAGAAACTAAAACTAATACAAGCTGTTGGCCAAAAAATGAAAAACTGATACAAGCTAATCCAAGAAAGTGAAAGAGCCCCCATGACTTGCAGAAGCCATTTCAGTGGAGCAACATAGTAAGCTTCAATTTCTAGCGTACTAAATAAGTTATTCAATTGACTAAGACTAGCAGAAAGAAGAAATCCAAATACATAAGCAAACTAAAAATATAAGATATGATAAAACAAGAGCCAAATCTGACTTACCCAAAAGAGAAGAGAATGAGACGGGCACAAATTCTAGTGACCCACATGATTCTACACCTCCATTTGGGCATTGGGTTCTGCGTGTCTTTCCAACCCTGCAACGCCAACCTGGTCGCAACATAACCCACTGCCAAACACAACCCAAAGAACACCAGCCTCACTAAAGCAATCGGCAAACACACCACAATCTTCATCACTTCATAAACCCCATCAACCCGAGGCGTCTCATTCTGAAACGGGTCCACTGCGGTGGTACCAGGCACCGATAACCCGGTGGACCCGATAAACTCAAATGGGTTGCAAGAATTCAACGAAGAACTGTCGTCGGTGCTGTCGTTATTATGAGAGTGGCTGTTTCTCCCGTGTTTGCGATGGTGATGATGATTGCCGTTTTTGCGGAGAGCAGGCTGATCGGTAGTTGGATCCGATGAGTCAGAGTCAGAGTCAGAGTCAGAGTCGGAGTCATCGTCGCGGACGGTGAGGATAGTTTGGGGTTCATCAGAAGCCCTGGGGGAGAGAAGTTGTGTAGTTAGATCATCACGGTCGGACATCGCCATTTTCTGGGAGGAAGGAAGGAGTTGTGTCTGAAAGCTGCAGGAGATTGCGGGAAGACAAAGAAGCTAAATGGTGTCTGAAAAAGGTGTGGGAGATTTTGTGGTGATGCATTATTTTAATAGTATTTGTGTGGTTTTCTGGAAAATGATGATTATTTTTATTTTGAAAAGATAATAGGACGACACGTACACTTCATAGTTAATAATATTAGTATTTTCTTTATTTTATTTTTTTAAATATTAATA